TTTGCTCAGATATATCCAGGGAAGGCATAGTAGTTGGACCTCTCCAATATAGACCACAGTGTAATATTTAAAAGAAAAAATGACAATTTTATCCTTGTCACCTGCAAAGGAGCAATGCTGACAAAGTGGTGGCACCTCTGACACAGCAGTGTCCCAGCTGATACACAATTTTGCTATGTTACAAGCTCCAACTTATCTTTTTCATTATGGACTTCAGTTTTGTAATGTAACTACATAGGTCCTGTTCAGATAGGTCGTTCTGAGCTTAAATAAAACATTTGTCTCCTACATTGGGATAGGAGTAAGGAATATTATTTTAGCTATGAATTGAGTGTGCTAATAGAATACTTCATCCAATCCTGTTTTCTGAGCAGCACGGCTACTTACAGTCTCAAAATGAACTGTGTCACAAGAGTGGTTTCATACAGCACCACGCTCCTCCTGGTTTGATACAAATGTCACAGATGTTGTGGTTGACATCCACCACCGATGATTTGATTAAGCCTGCACTGAGTGGTACTGGAACACACTGTGAATTAATTACCATTAGAGGGGTGAAGGGTTGAAGGTGTTTAGAATTTACATTTGTCATGTTTATACAAATAAATCAGAGATAAACAAATACATCAAAATACCTTAGTGCTTAAAACTGATTTGCTTCAGTAGAAAAGAAATTAAATTCTGGTTACAAACCAGTAAGCTCTAACAGACATAATACAGATTTTCATTGCAAGAAAGGCAATTTCTGCTTTCCCCTATCAGTTATTGTGATAAATTCATGAACAACTACTTGAATATAATATTTAACTCCCATTGAGTACTATCATGGGATACAGGAGCAAACATTTTATCAGTTGGTGTTACTGGGTAAAACTGAGGGAAAGTGCTCAAGTCTGCACAGCCGTCCTTTGTATGAATTGTCTCCAAAAGACTTGGGTCACACTGTAATCCCTGTAACTTTAATGTACCACTCCAACCATTTCTGTCCCAGAGAAAAGGTGGAAAATTGTTCATCCCAAAGCATGTGGACAGTAAGATGAATAAATTGTAATGATTTATGTGATGTCAGTTGACACAGATATCACAAGGTAGTCACCAGCTTCTGTCAGGCCGGGTTCCCTTGAGTTTCAGCCAGCAATGAGGAGTTAAAGCCACTCTCAGGCCTTCAGGAAGGCCATTTAGTGTGAGTATGTAGCTGTAATAGTTTAAACACAGTAGCTTAGTCCTAGGGACTGGAAATCCTCCTATCAGAAGCAAAGAACTGAACCCAGTATTTATGTATATTATGTATATTATATATGTACAGAAAGTACACGATGTTTTTATAGCAAATCTACTCCCTCACATCAAACTTGGAACTGAAAATGAAGGTTTTCTGGACCATGGTCTTCCATACTGTAGATCAGAGAGAGGATCCACAAAGACACCAGTAATTTATACATGCCTGGCTGTCAGTCTCTACACGGAATAAAACATAGCAATGAAGCTGGTCAGGGCACCTGAGGAGGCTACATTTCTAACATTATTTCATCAGTTGCTATAAAATTCAATAGTTTTCCAGCATGCTCCATCTTCAGCAGGTGAGGTGTCCTGTTTGCAGGGAAGGAAGTTGCAGTTCAGCACCCGGCCAGTGTGGCCGAGCTGTTTATTCTACACCACCCACATCATTGCTGGGGGTGTGGTTTGGGCAGGGAAAAGGGGAAGTGTCTCATGCTTCACTGGGTGAAGTCCCTGTTTGGGTTTGAATATATCCCATCATTGTTCACCCAGGGGATTGCTTATCAAACCAGGATAACCAAACTGCATTTCTCATCTATAACCAAATTAATTGCCCAGCTAAAAGCCAGCTTGTGCTGTATCAACAACTCCACAGGGGAAGCTGCCAGCAGGGATGGATGGTGACCCCCACTCAGCTGAGCTCATTGAGTCAAGAAGAAGGAAGTTCTGCCAAACCCAGGCAAACCAAGCCAAGGGAAGGGCAGCTGAGTGGTTGGGAGTGGGTAGCAGCAACCTCCAGGATCAACCTACAGCACAGTGAAGTGGTGAAAACATCAAGACAGGCACCTGTGCAGAGCTGAGTCCCACTGCAAGCCCCCTACTCTGATGATCCAGTTCCCAAGGCATTTTTTATCCTTGTATGTTTTGGGGGTTTGGGCCGGGGATGTGGGAAACATGAGCTGTGGGAGCTCCCCCATCATGTTGCCTTTGTTGCCCAGTGATCATGTGGCACAGCAGGCAGAAATGGTGCCCACATTGCCTTTGTCAGTGGAAACTATGGAAGTGTGATCTACAGAAAGCTTCTGTCATCTTGTATTTGTTGCCAGTGGTGAACAACTTTTTGTGGGTAAAACATCTTCTATTTCCATCTACTTTTACCATTAATATTGCTGTTGTTATTGTGTTGTTAGTGCATGTTTTATTCCATTACTTTGAGCTTTTAGTAAACTGCTATCTCAACCCACGGTGTCTCCTTTATTTTCTCTCCCTTGTTGGAAAGGGAGTGGCTTATTTGGAGTCTAATTTCCTGCTGGTCTTAAAACTGGCACCTAAGGGAACTGCTGAACTCTGGGATACAAAGAGAACCCCATTCAAATGCAAATTGTTGTTAAAGTTCTGATTCTGGGCAGTGATCAGCAGCCTGGGAGTGGTTTATCTCAGCTTTGATGTTAGAAGTGTGAAGGTTGGGCTGCACTGTGCACTGCAGCGCTGCCTGGAAACCCCAGAGCTAGAGCAGGGTCTGGGTCAGGCACATGCAGAGAGCAGCTCTGCTAAAGCCATCACAGTGGGATGCAGCACACACAGGCTCTGCTGGGCAGGGACCACCAGGAACAGCTCCACCCCAGCCAGGCACAGCATGCTCGTTGAGAATAACGAGAGACCTTTTTAGGCAAAGGTTTTTAAGGTACTTATAGACCCCACCTTCCATCATCAGAGCAAAGAGAACCAGCTGCTGATAGGTAACAATAGGAAATTATTTGCTGTTCCCATTTTACATTTGGCCTAATTTAACAGCAAATACACAAACCCAGCAGGATCAGGTGCCACCCCTTCCATGGGCAACCTCTTCATTTCATAACCAACTTTTGTCGCATTGACCTCATCTGAACACACAGATGAGCCAGCAAGAGAGCTACAGTCTCAGTGCAATCTTCTAGCCCTTCACTGAAGCTATCAAACAATCTGCTAGAAGAGGATAGAACCTGCAGAAAAATAAATTACATTCCAAAAGGAGAAAAATAAATACAATATAGTTTGAATCCTTGCAGCACCAGCATGACTTTGTTTCAGTCAGAACTTAAAAGTCTCACCTCAAAAGCTATTTTCATCTTTCAGGAAACACATTTTTAAAAACCCAACAAACTAATAAAGCCTACATAGCACCGTCCAGCTCTTCACTGCACAATTCCTCACAGAGATTTAAACCCTCATGGTACTTACCAGGCAACTCCCTGGTTGTCCTTCCACTGGGGTGATAATCCCAGCAACAGCCAAGCTGGATAAAGCTGTTCCTGGACATAAACTGCAAACTGCTACTGGAGTAAAAGGACACTAAAGGGGTGTCTGCCTGTCACTACATAAATTCCTCCCAGATTTGACTCCTGTAGCAAGCACATCTTGAAAAAATTCTACTTCTGATCTATCTTCAAGTCAGATATATACAACAGCAGAATTCCACTTGAGCTTTTCTTCTAGCTGGAGCTATGTGAGGAGCAAAGTACAGCATTAATCTGTCGAGTCCAGACCTGCTTTCAAACACACTTTCCTTCACACTTCAGTCCATAAAGCCATGGCTAATAACACTTATACATCAGCAATTTTCATCCTGTGGTTCACACTCCTCTGGGAGCAGGGAGGGAGACTGCAAGCTATTTGAGAGTTATCCACAAAGAGCGTTGGAGAAAACCAGGTTTCTGCACACCTTATAGCAAACCATTTACGGGCCCATAAAAATTTCATGTAAGTCCCTTGTAATTTGGATGGGAGGCTCCAAGACTCACTACTGTCCACTGTGATATTCCAGCCTCAAAACCCCACATTATTTTACCAGCTTTGCCCCTTCAGCATAGCAACAAACAGGACTTGTCACTGTTGTGTGCCTCAGTCTCTCTACCTGTAAAATAAGTGGGAAATAATTGCTTTTTTTAAAAAAGATCTGATTTAAGATTAAATAAATGTTATTTAAAAGGTATCTGTTGCTACTCTTTTGCCTTTAAAGTTCACCTCTGCAAATCTCCTCAGATAGTTGCCTTGAATTCATGAGTCTCCTGTAATCAAACTCTGGAATTCAGCACTGGAAGTCACACATCTATCTGGAACTATCCTGTTTGCCCACATATAAATAATTGTTGTGGAGTTGGTTTAGTGTTTACACACTGGGGGCAGAACACTACAATACAGTGTAAATATTAATGCAGTTGGTGACAGTTACGTGTTCTATGCAAGCAATTGACACACAAATCACAGAACATGGGATCACTTAAAAACAGAGCAGGAGCAGAATGCAAAAAGCATTGGTCACTTGTAGGAATCTCTGCTTTGGGACTGTCGGGACAAACTCAGGCACTCTCTTTATTCTGGTCTTAAAGTTTGCAGTTTATTTCGTAGGGTGTGGGTTTATATAAGGCCCTGCTGGGAACTGCAGCCACAGCTCAGAGCAGGGCGGAGAGAGGGATAGAGTGAGAGTAAGAGAAGAAACTTAAAAGCGTTTAAGAAAGTAAGAATGAAAAGAGTAAGAGTCTGAGAGAGCGATTTTCCCGTTTACAATACATTAAATTTTCTTCTATGTTGAATATTCTGATTTCTACTAACCAATGTAATACAAGATACAAATTCTCTAACATTTGCATGCAACCTATAAGAATCACTATATTACCATGTTTTACTGCTTCTCTTATCTCTAAATTTTATTTGGGATCCTTCCTGCCGTGCCTAGGGAGGATGTCTGTTTGTTTCTTGGTATTTGCAGCATCTAACATTATCTAAACAAAGGAGCCTTCAGGCATTCAGTTGCTTTCAGCCACACAGTCGAAAATTGCTACCATTTCTATTTCGGTTATATTTTCCCTATTCTCAAAGTCTTTGGCTAGGCACTCGTATTTATAAGGTTTCCCTAATTCATCCTTCCCAACAGTCACTGTTGCAGGGAAACAGTGCCAGCATTATGACACCATTAAGGCAAAGCTTCTCAAGCAGATTTGTCCTGTCAACACAGGGACAGAAAGAGATGATTGCATATAATCTGTATGTTAGCAGAAATACTTCAGTTGCTCCCAGCTGTTGGGCAGAATTTAGCAATGACTTAAACCCTATATACCTTCAAGGATGCCTTGCTAGTTCAGACCTTGAAGGATGTTGTTTATTCAAGTATATTTGCTTATTTATTATTAAGCAACTGTAAGATCTTGTTGAAGAACCAACAAGCTGTTATGCTAGCTATTGTCCAAACATGGATTTTTTTAACATTACTCCTGTTTCAGCAAGCATGCAATCACTGGTTTAATAATTATATGTATATTTGAGATCTCATACACAATTCTTATATGTTACATATACTTGGCTTTTACATGGCTTTGCTTTAAAAGCTTTATCTGTATTTCTACTGCTTCCTGGAAAAATCACACAGAAGAGCTTTTATATATGCCTATCACTTTTAAAAATGCATGACTTGATTAGAAGAAGTCTCGTTCTGGTCTGTAGAAATACGACCCAAAATCAGTTAAAAGTCAGTGGAGCTTCCCATTGGGTAGTCTGGGCCTTGAAAAGCCCTTACAAGTCATCTAACCTTCATTATGCTACACACTAATTAGTACAACAAATGAATCTTCCGGGCACTCTCTATCTCTTGTAGTGTGTTTCTTCAACTCCTACCTTCCTGGAAGCTTCTTTTGCTTTTAAATATAAAGGTAAAAATCTGTTCTGACCTCATTCTGTCCAGACCTCAAGGAGACTGGATACTGGATCAGCACCAATCATGACTATGTCCTTCCCCTACCATTGCCTTTGCTGCTGCTTCCCACAGTGCAAGCCACTGATTCTCAGTCTTGCTCAAGCACACATGGTTTAAGTGCAGAAAGCTCCAACTGAGCCTCTCAGGGTAAAAGGGACACGGGTCACAAGTTGCCTGAGCTATGAAGAGCCCAACTCACAGGTGTCACACACTGTGCAGGGCCCATCTACCCAAGCTCCTGGGGTGTATCTGTTCACACAGACAAACCCAGCAGCATTCCTGCAGACAGAAATATGCATCCTGAGCAAAACTATTAAAAGAGTGAGACTGCAACTCTCATCCTAAACATTTAGGTTAACTTTGGCATGCTGATCAAGATCTACAGTGGTATAGTGCCCTAGCTTTCAAAATAATTCAATGCAGCTCTGCCACACCTCCCACAGCTGTGAACAGGGCTGCAGAGATGCTTATGGTGTTCTAACTACTCTCTTAAGGGAAACAAATAGGAAAAAAATTATTACTTGAAAAACAGCAAGCCCTGTTATAACGAACAGCAATGTTATAATGCTTTTGGGGAATGTTTGCACTTAAGTCTCACCTTTGTTCTTATCCTGCAGAAGAAACAGTACTTAAAGTTTCAAACACTCCATTCAGTATAGAAACTTGAAGCCAATTTCTTTCAAATGCATATTCGTGTGAAGGGCTTCACCTGGCCAGCATTGTGAAACCTACTGAGTTATGCCAAACCCATTCCAGCTTTGGACCAAAGGGGTAATGCTGTTAACTGCAAACATTTCCCCACAAACCGATGTAGATACATACAGCTGTATACACCTATAGGTTATCAGGGTGAGCGAATTTGAAGTATAAAAGGCATTAATGTCACACCATTCTGACCGTGGTGTTCCCTCTGCCTGAACCTGACCATCAGAAAACTATATTGATTAACATCAGGAGCTGACCTGCAAAAGTATGTTGCCCTTCCCCTCAAATTACCATCTTCTTAAGAATTCTGTATATATACTTTACCAACAAACACCAGGCTAAGATATGGCTATATCCACTAGATAGCTACTCTTCCTGCCATTAATGCCTTAATGATTAAATCCTAGTGGTAACTTGTGGGTCAAGTAACTGCTAAAGACTGCTTAGAACTATATATAAATCTTGAATTAAAAAAAAATAAACAAGCCTACAGTATTATCTTTTTGATTCTGGGTAAAGAATAAATAAAGAAGAAACAAAAACTATTTCATATTTGCATTTTACTCATTTTGACAGTTTCCACTTCATGGTAAATCAATTTCTTCTGCTCCCATGAAGAGGAGTCCTTTTATCTGGCAACCCAACTCTTATCTAATTGTCCCTCTAATTGTCTCTTGTCTAATTGTCAGTGTTCCTCCAGGATGACTTCAGGATTCTTGGGCTGCAGGTATCTAGCACAAGATGTTTGGTTTAGGTTTGTTGGTTTGTTTTTTTAACATCTCTTAGAAGGATTAAAGCTGAATGTTTCACACACAGTGCCAATATTTAATCCATCTTTAAAACTCCAAGGAGTTAAACCTGGGCAGCCAAACATTCTGATTCAGCAAGCTTTCACCACAGGTTGGTAGGAAGACAGAAACAGGAATGTGTATCCATGTTAACAGCAAACCAACACAGTGACTCCAGAACCAAATCCTCCAAAGGAGCAGATGGAACATCCCTGACAATGAACCCCAAACCCCAGCATCTTCCAGCACCGAGGCAGCTGGCTCACCCACTGAGGAGTGGAAACATCCATGCCTGACAAATGAGGTTGGGTGTTACAGAAGAGTGGGTGAGGTAGCTGAAAGTCAAAGTTGTAGTTGGAGCTTGAGATCCAGAGTGTGCTGCAGTTTGGGATGGAGGCTGCTGGCTGTGCTGTGAGGAGGAAGGGACGTGTGGCCATGCAAGGGACAGATGAGGTGATAAGATGCTGTGTGAGGGACAGACAGGGTTGGGTGGCCGGGTAAGGGACAGGTTTGGGCTCAGCCAGGCATGCAGAAGAAAGAAGGAACTTGCAGAGAGGAGAGAAGGAGTCAGTGCTGTGTGGAGCTGCCTGAGAGGGAAGGAGTCAGAGTCGCCTGAAAGAAGGAATGAAAAGTTTTTAATAGAAGACTGGTGTTGATGCCCGGCGTGTCCATCTCAACGTAATTAGTGCAGTAATTCAGTGGGAACCCACAGCACAGGCCTGTTGTGTGTCACAGTCAGTTGTGTGTCACAGCGGCTGGGCGGGGCAGGCACTGAGGGCCGGCAATGCGCAATGGCGGCACAGGGGCCTCAGGCCGGGCCTTGGCTCAGGGGCCTCAGGCCGGGCCTTGGCTCAGGGGCCCAGCTGCTCCTACACCAAGCCTGGAATTGTGTGCTCGGCACTGCCGGGAAGCTCACGGTGGAGGGGGGTTCTGCTGTCTGTTAGAATGGCAGAACTTCTTCTCTTCAGCAGGTGAGTTGGCTCTTTGTACTGTCAGGAAAATCCACCACCAGAGATTTTTAGTTTACAGTTAAACCTAGAAAAATGTAATGCACAAGGAAATAGAATGTATACAACTTTTAATGGTAAAGTTTCTTTTACTATACCTTCTTTTACCATTTGCCATTAATGGTAATGTTCTTCTACGTTAGTTGAGAAATCTGTTTATCTTTAATATTTATCTCTTCCAATAAATTCTGCTAAATAAAATTGTCAGCATAATTCACCTCTCTCCTGTGGATCTAGTATGACCTACTGTGGTGACCTTTCATAAGCTAGAACACTGTTTATCTCTGATGATGCCTAGGTAATCTTCATGTGTATCAGAACAGCTATTATCGTTTTGTTAGACTGAAACTCTTATCCCTAAAGCCAGACAATTGAATGTTATATTTTTTTTTTTGCTACCTCAGTACAAAATGTTTGTTAGTCACTAGCATAATACACTTTTAAAAATATTTCTAAGCCCCTCCTTGATGTCATTTCTAGGGAACATTAATTTACTTCACTGCTTTAATGTTTTCTTTTGTTTTCTTTATCAGTTAGTAAAGCATCCTATGTCCTTGCCTCCACAGACATAGACTGGCAGCCAAGAAGTTTTGAAGTTGCAGTCCTTTTTTAAAGGAGTTTTGCACTACATTATTTTGCTTTCAAAGTGCAAGGGATACTTGTATTACATTGCCATGAGTTATGTTTTGTCATCCTTAGGCAGACCAGATCTTCTCTGTGAACAGTGCTGGTGACATCAATGACATGAGTGAAATGTTGACTACCTGGGTTATCAGTATGGCAATCTGACCTTGGCAATTCATTGTTCTACTCTTCATCCATATGAAGTAATAAAACTTTAGTTCTCCTTTCCATGCCTTATGTAGCCATGGAAAATGGAAAGTAGCATATATTAAGCCATATACAGAGTAGGAGAGAGCTTGCTGGGTCATCTGCTCTGTCATCATCTTCCAGAGAAGAATCATTGCTCTTTTAATCAGAAAACATGGAACGTGGTCCAGGCTCTGCAAATATCTTCTGCAGTCTGAAGGTAGGTAGCTCTCAGAGACAAATCTCCTCACATGTTTGTGGCATTTCTAGTTAAGAATTCTGTTTTGCTTCAGTTTGCTGTCAAATGTACTGTGGCAATCACTTTGTGTTTCTTAAGATAAAAGTATCCTGTGCTATTCTGAGGCAGAGCTGCAAACCCTGTGGCAAGCAGTCACCTGCAGGCTGACTGGGTGAAGAAGGAACAGGGAGACTGTTAGCAGTGTGGGTGAGGGAGTGCAGTCTGGACATTTTACAACTTACACTGTTTGACCTTCAGCTTGGGTGGTCTGACCAGCCTGCCTAACTCTGAGTGTGTGGGAGTTCAGCATTGCAGGGTTCTGCTCGTGTTTATCCCTGAAACCACGGGAGTGCATCAGTGAAGCTGCATGGCTGATAATGCTCCTTCTGCTGGTGATGCAGTGACTCAAAAGGAATTATGTTTGTTGACAGAGAGCACATCTGGCTGCCATGCACTCCAGAGGTCTAATTCTGTCCTGATTTACTCCCAATCTGGGTTGTGGCTGTAACTCTTCCAGATGTGCCACAGGTTGGTAAATAAAACTATTTTATCAGTGACTAAATTTGAACACAATTTGGTCTTCTGTATGTGCCTGTAGAGTTAATTTAATTTTAGTGATACATTTGGATTTAGGAGGCTAATTATAAGCACTTGGTCTGTTCTTAGACCTGTAACATCAATGTTTCTTGACCAGAAAACACAACTATGGGAGTAAGGCTGCCCAAGTCCCTTGCTTTATTTAAATTAGTAGGTGTTTTTCTTAAAACCTTTGGTTTCTTGGATAGGACAGTTGATACCTATGCAAGTATGTATATGAATGTCTCTCTGAAGAAGAATAATAAGCTTTTGACCACCTTCCTGCTTTTTCCCAGTATTGAATGTCAGGATTGTAGTGTCGCAGCAAGAAGAGAACCAGAGTCTAGAACTTTCCCTTTTATAGATGGGTTTTTTGGAAGGTTTTCTATTCTTGGTTTTAGGAGTGATGCTATCCATTTTAGACTTCCTTGTACATATGATAGAGTAGCAGCATAAACCATATTTTAAGGAAAAAAGTCACAGGTTGATAGCTCTCGTAAGCATTTGTAAAATCCCTTTTTCCACTTTTAGATGGCTCAGATGGGTATGGATGGTTTCGGTACTAAATTTTTAATTAATTACATATTTAATCTGTGTTATCACTAATTCTATTTTTATGATAACTTAATTTTTTCTTTTTATGGATGCTTCTTCAAGACAAAGAAGGAAATCTAGCACATATTGTAGGAGCTGCAATTAAAGCTACCTATGTGTTTTTGCTGTACTACAGCTGATTTCTGTGTACTTCCTTAATCAGTTTAGTATATTTATTATCAAAAAGCTTTTGTTACATTTTGCTCTTCATGTGTGAATTCAGAGCTTCCATCCCACCACTTCCTGACAGGCCAGGAGGTCAGGTGAAAATGTGATGGACTTCTTCTAGAACAATGAGAGTGCTTACAGCTAGGTGCAGGAAATGTAGTGGCTGTTGAATTTAGCAAAAATATTTTGGTAAATGTATTCTACTTGCTTATGTGTTTTCATGTTGTATTTTGATAAAATTACTGTTTATTTCCCTTTTGTGCAGTAGCTGTACAGTCAGGTAACTTGCAGGCTCACTGCTCTTCTGTGTGTATCCTGAATGTAAGAGATTTCATGGAAGTGATCTAGTAAGCATGATCCAAAGGAAAGAGAATTAAACTTGGTGTCAAGTAATTCTGAATTTATACTTAGATGATGACAATGATTAACTTCCTTACTACTTTTCTGTCTGTAAAATTAATATTTTCATTTATACCTTTCTAACAACAAGTTTGATTGGCTTAATTACTACACTGAACATGACAGCTGCTAATATAGATGTTGAATCACTAATTCTCTAATTGCAGCTTTCTTTACAATTTCATAGGGATCTCAAATTTAATAAATCACCTTCTGATTTCTTTTGGGCAATATTCCAGTAAGTCTGCAATATTTACTTTGTTTCTGGTTTTGTTTTTGTAAAATGTCATCAATTTACAAGTGTTTTGTAACTAATGTCTCCACTGTAATTTCCTTATGCTGAACAGACTCGTTCCTCAAACACCAGGCTCATTAAGCTCGTGAAGTAGTTTAAAATACATAGTTAGCTACTTTGAAAGTAATAAACACACACTGGAAGATCCAGAGATTTTTCATTTACCTATTCACTTTTTTCAGCAGCACTTTGCTCCCTTTGCTGGTTTTCTCCCTTTAACCACCTTTCTGAAGCTGTGTAGAGAGGAAGAAAATATTCATGCTTTATCAACTGATGAGTACCTCATGCACCAAAGATCTTTCTCCTCAGTTCAGTAAGTTGCAAGGGTACAAGTTATAGATAAGGGGTCAGATGACTGTTCAAAATTATGAAGACAGTGGATCTAAATTCTCTTTCTGCTACTTGGAGTTTAGTTGTTTTAAGTGCCCTGACCTCACTGGAGCTGTGTGTGAGTAGTGTAATGCAGTCGAGAATCTGGTCTACACAAATGCAGAAGAAATCTAAATGATGCTTAATTAAATGATAGCTGTGGGCTTTCCCAGTAAGTGTATGTAATATGGGGTAGTACTACTCATTTTAACTCAGTTCATTAGAAATCTAACCTATCTTGTTTATTTGCAGGATAATAATTCTGGTCATAGTGACTAGAAACTCTTTCTATGGATATTGTGCTGAGCTTATTTCAGCTGCCACCATTACAAGTTCTGCCTTTGCTTCTTCCCAGCCCAGTGTGATTCCTCCACATATGTTTCACTTGAAAATTTTTTAACAATCTATCCTCTGACATAAGCCATGGTGCATTTTACAAGAGCAGACATATGTGTGGGTTCCAGAAAGGATGGATACTTCTAGCTTTGAGATTAGTATCCCCTTAAGAATTTGGACTCTTTTGGGCAGTACCTGTTGAGATTGGAGAGACACAGCTGTGGCCTGAGATAGAAGAGGCTAAAGGGGCTCCTGCTCTCCTCTGAGCTGCTTGTTTCCTGCTGGTGGTTACTAGTTTCATAGGTCTGAGAACTGCTTCATAGTATAAAAGTTAATCAGAGAAGTAGCTTAAAAACTTAATTTCTAACATGTTCATTCATCTTAATGAAAAGTGCAGCCCATCACAATATTTACTTGCTAATAGAAATGGTGTGTTTTTCTGAAAAATTATGCAGTTAAGCATGCTTATGGTTATCTCTGCATTTGTATTACTTATTGTATCCTCCTGAAATAATATAGATAAATATACCTAATAAAAACTGTTTTTTATTAGGTGAAGAATTTGGTTGGTCCCACTCATATTGTTCAAATGAATGTTTGGGCTCAAATGAGTGAGCTAGCTGACATGGATGCCATTTTTATCTGATCATTTTAATCTTTGTAGGCAGCAGTGAACTGTGCTACTTTCTTGTGGGTCAAACTGACTACCAAATCCTGGTTGCTTGGGTACTTTCTCTCATTCTTAATGGACAAAAAGACCTCTCAGAGAAAGTGCCTACTCTTTGTAATGCATTTTTTGCCTGGGAATATGTTTTCAAGTACCTTTGGTAATCAAAGTGGCAGGTTGCTTTCAACTAAGGCATTTGGTAGGGGCTCATCTGCTCAGGGCAGTGCAGAAGGTGGTTTATTTCCTGCACAGAAAACTAGAAAGGGAAAATGACTGGATACACTGCAGAATGGATCTTTGTTTCCCTGCATAGAGCAAAGTTTCTCAGCCTCTGCTGTGCCCAAATAAGCTGACAAACCTGATGAATGGAAAAGCCTCCTATCTCAGAGTCACAAAAAAGCATAGAGGTGAACCTGGCAAATGTTTTATTGTGAATGCCCAAGAAATATCAGCCGTGGGCTATGAGCAGCTGAGCAAGTGGCTCACCCTTCAGAGTGCAGCCTTCTGCCTGAATGCCAGTACTGGAGCCATGGCTCTGTCAGTCAGATGGGTTATCTTTCCTTGGAAAGGGGGTGTCAGCAGTGGGATGTATTTGTGGTACTTTGAGTTTGCATCTCCTTTTTGAGGAGGAATGCTGCACGTGTCTGGCTTTGGCCCTGTTCTCATGTAAAGAGTTAAACAGCAGTGATTCACCTCAAAATGACCATACTTCCAAAAAAGGCAACCTTGCTTAGTGTTGGTGTTACTGCCAGCATTTGTGTTCTCAGGAGCATCTCTGGTTACTGCTTGTGCAGAAGCAGTAGTTTGGTGGACAGATATTAATGGGGGAGGGACTTGGATCTGCAGATGCATTCCCCACTTGCTCCACAGGATACTCCAAGAAGCAGGAGGACAGTCAAGCTTGAAGAATGAAGAAGAATCATGAGAGTTATGGCTGATCATTAAAGATACCCATCATACCCCAAGGTTCAGTGCCTCTGTGTGTGCAGTTATAACACTGCACACACTAATTACTCTTTTTAAGACAGAGTAGGGGAAGGAAGTAGACAGTCATTGTAGACAGTCATTCCTGGGCTTTACTGTATGTTTGGGGATGTAACCTGGTGTAACTCAGGAATTTTTTTCAACCTGAAAGCTAAAACAGATGGGGAAGGTTGGCCAATTTAATGCCACCATTAGTAATAAGAAACTAATAGCTGAATTGACTTCCTTCATACCTTTTATTTCAGGGTCAGTGTCTGGTAAAGCAGTCCAAGACCTTGAAAAAAGACCTGAAAGAAGGAGCTTTATGTGAGTTTTGCAATGACTACAGAGAGGAAAAATAATGGACTGTGCATACTTGGCTCTGAGGCTCATATTTCTCTTAAGGAGAACTGGATTCATGAAAATGAGGTATTACATCAGGTAATACGTTGTATAGAGGATCTTGCCTGTCTGTTTCTTGAGTCTTATCTTCCAAACATGTGAGATATCCTTAAAAATATTTAGTCACCTTAGTGTTCCCTTTATGGCCTTACATGATTTTTCCTATCTGGAGTTTGCTGTATTCCACTTAAATGTTTTCCTATTAACCACTCAATGAAGTGTAGACTGCATTGTTCCATTTCACTTCCTTTGCCCAACTTTCTGCCTGTTGTGCCTGCATTGTTACTCCAAGCAATTATGATTGTGTGAGGTATTACTCAAAGAGTGTAAGTGGGAGGATTAAGCTGGGAGTTAGAATTCTGCTGAGTGTTTCTGCCTATGCTGCTAACTGACAGACTTCAGTGTATTCATTTCATTGCTAAGAATACTGAAGCAAGGCTATGTGACCTCTCTGCAGACTCTGTAAGGGAGGTGATTATTTTGTAGTTGTTCAGCTTTGTCCTAACAAACTGGAGAAGACTGGAAGTCAGTTCATTTGGATTGATTAGAACTTGCAGGTGGGAGAAGTCAAGCTGTTCTCTGAGAAGGAGAGAGAAGCTTTTTTTGACCCTCTTCATTTCAGCTGCATTTGGTAAGAGAGGCTGGTTGATAACACAGGTGCCCAAGAGCATGCCTCTCTCTAAATGAGGATCTTCCCCTCAGAGAGGTTTTTAATTTACTGGATGAAGACACTCACCATCCACAACCCAGGGTATGGAGGTAGATGGCCTCTTTTTGTTGATAACAACTCATATTTATTATATTTAATTGTAATGTACTGTTCCAGGGAAACAGGATGTCATCAGAGAAGTTGGGGAAAGTGAGTTGTTTGTTCTGCCAGTAGGTATTTTTCTCCATTCTTCCTTGTGATCTATTCTATTTGTTCTATATGCATGCACATTGATCATTGTAGGCAGTCTTTAATTATAGGCAAATTGTCCTTACTGCAAATGAGTATATCTTCTAAAGTGTTTGCTAGCATAAAATAAAAATTATATGAGCAAAATTTTAAAGTTGTTCCTGATAGAAGCCGTCTTCACAACCTGGCAAAGTCTCACATTTTTCAGTCAAGTAGCCTTCAAAGGAAAGAGAAAACCTATATCTAACGCTGTAAAACAAATAACTGAACAGCCTAATGCCTTTTTTTCTTTTTTATTGGAGGAGACAAAAGCCAAATATATACTTCATATATATAATATATTAATAAAAATAATAAATAACATCTATTATATAGAAAATAAAACTTATTTCATAATTAACTATACTGAACTGTACTTTAGCCAGGTTCCCTTGACACTGGCTCTGTACAGAGAATCTGTAAGTGGGGCTCATGACTCCTAGTCCCCCTGCTGAGCTTGGCTGGGGTTACCTAAATTCTGTCAGCCTGGTACAGCTGTCCCTGCTGTGGGCAAAGCTTCCTTTGGGGAGTGTAGGAAGCTCAAGTTGTGTGTGCATGCATTCTGTGTGTTTTAATTGGAAAATTACAGCTGAATCACCCTGAAGGAACCAATTTGTTTGGGCTGTAGCAATGTCAACAAGCAATGTGTAGGTAATGTGTTAATTAATATAGGGCCTGCTATTTATAAATGTGTGTAGTAGTGTGTGGGTTTTTGGGAGTGTTATTTATGATTTTATGGGTGCTCTGAGCTCCTATTCCATGGAAATCCTTTTCCATGAGCTGATAACAATATTAAAACTCAGATGGTTTTCAGAGGGTGGGATGTTTACTTCAGGTGTTTCCTGTGTAAACTGAAGGAGTGTGGGCCTTAACAAATTAAATGTTTGTTCTGAAACACAAATACTTTCCAGTCAAGGTTTCCCACAGTGCTGTGTACAGGATGCTCTACAACATGAAAGTAAACACGATTATGATTTTGAATATACATCAAAATGCATTGCCTCTCATTTTTCACTGAAAAACTTTGATAGTTCAATAAGAGTTTTTTTGGACAGAAGTGGAAGGAAAATGCCTTATCAGTATGTCTCAATTTTAGAATCTGAATATGTGGAAAATGAATGAAAAGAGGTTATTTAAATTCTGTAATCTTTATTTTAAATGTCAGATGCTTTTAAAAACTTACTGCTGAATCAAAACCAGCTAGGTATAAAAACAAAAAGAGTTGGAGAGTAGGTTGAGTAGCAAACAAAATAACTCTGTGAGTTAGCTTTGAATTTGTTATTCTGCTTTCAATGATATCCAAAAAGCCCTGAATTGAAACCTAGTTATTGTCCTATGTTTAAGCTCCATGCAGCATATGGGTGATTTGTACTTAAAATCTGTCTGTTCCTTTGTACTTTGGACACAATAGATACTGAGAGAAATCATTGGAGAGACCTTGCTTTACCAGGTCAACAGTGCCAGATCCCTTTGTGTTTTCCCTTGCACTGGGGACCTGAATATAGGCAAAGGTCAAGGATTTTATTCATCTTCTGATACCAAACAGATACCTTCCTGTGCATGATTCTACAGCATTTTCTTGTCCTATACCAACTTCTCAAAATAATTCTAGTTTACAAGTATGTGATATTGCCTAGATTACCAAGGAACACGGTGTATGGACATAAATGCATAACCTCTTTTTAAAAACTTATTTTCTCTGTGTTTTTCCTGATCAACTGCCTGTTAAAGCATAGAGTAGCATGTGAGGCTTTCTCTCCTGCAAAATACTCAGGCTAGTTGCAAATAATTAAATTACATGATAAAATACATCTTTAAGGAAGTGTGTGCATGTGTGTATATATGTAAATATATAAACAAAATGAAAGCATGGCAGAAAGTGCTGAGGTTTTTTTGACCATGTCGTGAGCAAGGTATTAATGTTGTCTGTGGTGGCTGTAACATCCTCCCACTTTGCACTGCACTTGTTTTACATGTGTTCAAGGGGTAGAAAACACAACTCTACACCTTCTTCCCTAGTCATTGGCACTAAATGGAGCCCTGAGACTCCACTCATCAGTAATCTTTCTCCAGTTAAAGCCACTAAAATGATTTACCTGGCCAAACATGTGGCTGCATTGCTGCCATCAAAATGCAGGTAAATAAGCAGTCACAATAAATTGCAGTGATGCTTTGCTCTACTGACAGCTGATTTATTATATGCAATTTGATGCATTATAAATGAACATTTTAGAAATGTATTTAATCTTCACCTGGAATATGTAAGCTCAGCTCAAGCATTGCAAATGAGCATGTGTGGATTGAATGAGTAGTGTGTTTTAAGGCAAGTGGTAGGATTTTAGGGTGAGGCTCTAAGGACTCCATGTAAAGAATGAATTTTGCAAGAGGGTGAAAGGTAGAGAGTTGATTAAGTTCTTCTCCCAGTAAGAAACACGAGCAGACTCCACTAATTGGATCCCAGATGCAGACTGGTGCAGCTAACTCTGAGCATTGGAGACTTCAGGAAAATCTTCGTCAGCTACAAACGAGAGTCAAACACTTCCTCCAAGTCACTTGTTTAAATCTTTTGATGCACAGCCCAAGGTACTTTGAGTCACACCTCTGACAACTTGCATCCCTATTCTGGACAGTGTTTTAGACCCCAAAACTGCAGGAGTTGTCAATGAATAGACCTCTGTCTATGACCAAACTTCTCACTGCCCTGTAATACTGTGGAGGAATTGGGATTTCTGCCCAAGCAGTTCTTTACAATCGTTTATTCCTGCTACATTGTCTTAGTTCACCATCAGGAGTTAATGATTCCCATTAATGTGAAATACATGCCTGCTAATGTAAATCAGCTGATATACCAAACCCAGGGTCAAAACCATGACCATTAGCACTAATACTAGAAGAGGAAA